ACAAGTTAGTTTATATTTCTCTTCCGGGATGGGGTTCTGCCCTGCCCCGCCCCGCCCACCCACCTGGGCATATAAAACCTCCACATCGACCTCGTCCTCGCAAGGTGGGACGAGGCTGGCAGTCAGCACCATGCAGCTGAATTTCAGCGGCCTGCGGGCCCTGGTGACAGGGGCAGGGAAAGGTAGGTTTGAGCAGGGTCAGGGGTGCAGGAGAGGCTGCCTGGGCAAGACTTGGACCCTCACAGAGGCCCATGCAGGGCCTGTGAGTCCCCGCCGGCCTGTCACAGGCAGGCCCCACAAGCGACTGATGCCCCCTCAGCCCCTGAACCTGGCCTGAGCTGCTCCCCACCACCTGCTGGAGCCCCACTGGGATAGGACGCCAGCCCCTCCCTGGTCAACACAAGATCTGCTTGCCCTGGGGAGACCCCCAGACCCAGACTGGACAGACAGGGGTCCAGCCAAGGCCTCTTCCCTCAGACTTGCCCTCTAGGGCCCCCCCTTGGCCTGATGCTGGTCAGTGGGGCCCCCGACCCAGGCCCCCACCTACTCCTGGGCCACTGCCCTCTCTCCCTGCTTGTCCCTGGGCAGCAGTGGCTGCAGGCCCCACTCCCGTCTGTCCCCTGACCCCAGCCTTGAGCAGACACGCTGGGCCCCCTACCCACCGAGTCTCCCCCATGCAGGGATCGGGCGGGACACCGCGAAGGCCTTGCATGCCTCAGGAGCCAGAGTGGTGGCCGTGAGCCGCACCAGTGACGACCTGGTCAGCCTCTCCCAGGAGGTGAGCTGCGCAGCCCCATCATGGCTGGTCTGCCCCCATCCCTGCAGGAATGCCTCACGAGCCTGCCGGGACCACTCCTCAGGGCACTGCCCAATGTCTCCATAGTGCCCCGGGATAGAGCCCGTGTGCGTGGACCTGGGCAACTGGGAAGCCACGGAGCAGGCGCTGGGCAGCGTGGGCAGTGTGGACCTGCTGGTGAACAACGCAGCCGTGGCACTGAGCCAGCCCTTCCTGGAAGTCACCAAGGAGGCCTTTGACAGGTGGGGAGGGAGAATAGTCGGCTAGGGCAGGGGTGCTGGGGACAGGCAGTGGAAGTTGCCATGGTCTGTGTCCCTACTGCCAGGTCCTTCAACGTGAATCTGCGTTCTGTGCTCCAGGTGTCCCAGGTGAGCCAGCGGGAGGGCGAGGGCTAGCATGGTGGGCGGGTGGCCGTGGGTGGGGCCAGCTGCCTTCGCTCTTGCTTTCAGATTGTAGTCCGGGGCATGATCAACCGCAGAGCACCTGGCTCCATCGTCAACGTCTCCAGCATAGCGGCCCACGTCACCTTCCCTAACCTGGTCACCTATAGTGAGTTCCTCTGCCCAGCCTGCACACCCCTATTCCCTGGGGAGCCCCTGGGAGCAGGGCTCCATCTCTAAGGGGTCCTCAGTGCTGCGCCGCCCCGCCCCCGCAGGCTCCACCAAGGGTGCAATGACCGTGCTGACCAAAACCATGGCCATGGAGCTGGGGCCACACAAGGTGGGCTTGGGAGTTGGTGGCTGAGGACGAGGCCTAGGGAGGTACAACAGGGTGCTGGGGGCAGGGCTGGCGGTTGGGGTGAGAATGGGACATGGGGACAACACAGGCTCTGGGCAGAGCAGTCAGGGCCTGGTGCGCAGGCTGAGGCCATACCTCCCGCCTGGCCCCAGATCCGGGTGAACTCCGTGAACCCCACGGTGGTGCTGACGGCCATGGCCCGGGACGTCTGGTCCGACCCCGAGGTCTCCCGGAAGCTGAAGGAGCGCCACCCGCTCAGGAAGTTTGCAGGTCAGGGGCAGCGGGTGAGCCGCGTGCCCGGGGCCAGCCGAGCCGCCTTGACCCGCCTGCCGCCCCCGCAGAGGTGGACGACGTGGTCAACAGCATCCTGTTCCTGCTCAGCGACCGCAGCGCCTCCACCAGCGGCTCCGGCATCTTCGTGGACGCCGGATACCTGGCCTCCTAGCGCGGGACGAGCTTGGCCCCTCGCCCCGGCCCCGCCCTCACGCCCCACGGCCCGTCCCCGGGCTGCCAACGCCCCGG